AAAAAAGGACAATCCAACAGGCCGCAGTGGCCCAGCACTCAAGAAAATTGTGATAAAAATTCTGCGCATGCATCAGCCGGCGAAGCTCCTTTCATATTGAAAGAGAGACTTCTAAAGTCCACACAACGAAACTAGAATGGTCCAAAAATATATTACACCCCCCTCAGCATTGACACTCATTGGGAACAGCCTTTGGGACCAAGAGACAACTTTTGGACCTTCCTGTAAAGACGTTTTTGGGAGAGTCTGCGATCCTTATTGTTAGCATTGGCTAACTCTTATGGGTCCACCCCCTTTGGGCCCGGGGTTATTTCAAGCAGTCACGCACCAATTTTGGCCACTTGATCCGGGACCCACCCCATCAGGGTTCAAACAAGGCCATTTAAACAGGTACTAGTGAGGACAGAGGTGCCTCGGAAAGCGCCTATACTGACTTTGAGACTTTTTCGGAATGAGAACGGGCTGGGCTGGGGCTCACGGCTCGCCCTCCGACTCTGCACGGAGCTTTGCCCCCCTCTACCCCCCGCCCCCCCCGCTGCCTGTGCTCCATGCCAACTGTATACGAAGCTCAACGCATGTGTCTGATTGCGACCAACGTCTCAACAATATTGGAAACTTTTTGAACGTGGGATGCACGTGACCATAGAATGAAAGAACCGTGAAGGCACTAGGATCAAGACTTTCTTTTGGCTGTTTTCCTGTGTAAGATATCCGTAACGTTGACTCGGTAGTTTCAGGGTAGGCCTCCGCGCTTGTTTACCTCAGCTGTTCTTTGCTATACCTGAAAACCTGTGGGGTCCTTGTCTCTAATAGTGGGCCATGGTCCGCTGTGATTGTCATCAATCGGGACCCGAAACTCATTCTCCTGCCTTGGTGATTCACAAAATCTCTGCTTAAATATACATCACACGCAACACAAACGGCGCTACTTAATCTTCAAAAGTACGTATATTCAAAATGCATTGCTTGGAGATGGGATTGCAATTATCGACATTGATATAAACAATAAGTCATCGGTGCAAGGCTTTATAAGAAGGGTGTACAGGTCTGGAATAGTTGGGGAGATGACCTAATACGTATTTCGTCCACTCTTAGTTGCATGAAAATTGCTTTAAATAATCAGTCGGGATTTGCTGATTATCTGATGAAAACTATACGGCACGCCTTAATCTTTTTATAGTGGGAGAACTTGCACATAATGGGGGGCTGTACGATACTTGTTTCCCCACGGTCTGTAAGTGATGTTTAAAGCTATCTTAATGCAATAAAATGGCGACTTTCAAGTAGGTCACTAATGCGTGTTAACTAGTACAATTGAAAATAAGTTTATTGAAGCGGTATATTGCTTCAGTCCTCGGGGGCTCATATGCAATACATGTCTCCACATAGCTTCTTTGGGTTCTTTTTAGAAACGCACAAAATACTTAAGGCTGGTCTTTACAGTCCGCAGAGTTATTAGCTTTGGTTTTTACACCATAAACTTGTATGTTTGTGTCTCCAACTGGTAGCTTACAAAATCCTTTCCAGAGGTATATGGTTTCGTCTGCAACACCCCTTTGTATAATACAAGTGGCACCGTTAGCTAATGGTAATAGTTTGGTGGTTTGGTTGACCCAACGGCGAGAACAATTGACATGAACTAATTAGCCATAGTGAATACTTTTTCTAGAATTGGGTTTGGAACTGAGGATCTCTGTTTTGATTTGTTCAATTAAGAAGTTAGGCAAAAACATTTATGGGAAACGCTTGTTCTAAGCCACGCATATTTTTTATATGTTTTAACACTGCAAAACTGAACTGTGTGCTATAAGTACGTATCTATAAAAATCACTCAGATATTAACATCAAAAGTACCAACACTAAGGCCCCCGAACAGCGACACCGAGCTTTGCGTGATATGGATCGCTCCTCTAGAAACCACTGATCTAAAAAGAAGATCCCTCTAACAAGCCTTATTTGGCGGCAATCTCAGCAATCAAAGGTGCGAAATGTTAAAAGTCAAAACTGCTGATTTGAACAGGCTGCTTCCGAAAACGGTCCGATAAGCAGGAGAGCCTTCGTGGAGGCGCAAGTGCTTCCTATCTTCTGATGATGCTACACCTCTGTGTGAAGCTGGAAATGACAAAAAGCAAGGGCTTTATTGCCAGCTTCCCCCCTGTCCTTAATAGATTGTCCTCAATTTAAGCACGAACCTGGGTAATAGCCTCACAGGAACTCTACGACAATGTCTCAGCCCTCTGAACCCCTTCTTGCTGTTCACTATTATCACAGTGTTAGAGATCCTTTGCTATAGCGGCCGCGATTAAATAACCTCAAATATCAAGCAAAAATAATCTCCCAGACTACCCTCCTGTGAGGCAAACCGGCAACTGTTGGAACTGTAGGGCAATGTCCGTTTCCCAAATGGTGCTAAAAGATAGCTCCGATGACGGCGCATATGCGCGCAATGTTTTGGTGACAAACATGGTGTACGACTCCGTTTAGTACTAATGTGTGTATCGTCCAAATACGCGGTGTTTTTACTTGCTAAATAATTGAATCATGGGGGGACAACATACACTGCAGTTATGGGACTATGACGACGATTTCAGAATACTTAAAAGGACTATGAAAGTAACATTCAACCCGTTCTTAAACCACACCTACGACCGGACAAATGCAAGGAGGTGAGGTGCGTGGGTCGGCAGAATTTGCTCTCCATGAAAATGGGTTATAAATCCGACCGTATAGAAAGCTGTATTTCTGGTCAGCTAGGGGTGCGCTGGTTTAATATGCATCTGAGTTCTGTGGGTAAAATTTCTCTGGGAGCCCAGCGTGAATTTAGTCTGTTCAGTCTGCATACCGCGAGAATCCCCCGAGCAATGAGTTATTCAACAACTACCTATCCAGTTATTAACAATTAGATACATGATACAGCACACTCGCACAGGAAGGTCGTTGTAGGCTTTAGTTGCGAACGTTGCTAAATAAGCTAAATTTAGCTAGCTCACTGTGTACAACAGACAAGCTAACTGTTACTCGAGGAAATACATTTCAGTGAGACTTTGGGCCAACGGGATTACTTAACTAAACAGGACTATTTAAGAAGGTACATGGAGAAGATAGTCGGAATCTATCAACACAGAGGTGGGTGGCCTGGGTCTTCGTTGTGTGCAGGGCTTGACTTTTGCACTAAAATCATATTCTAAGTTTGTTTTGTTTATGAATTTAGATATTTTGAATGTTTTCGAATATTGTATTATATTTTTATGAAACGGGCGCTCAAAAACTGTGGAACCACCACTGGAGTGTTAATGCAAGTCAAAACATTCTATACAGATAACCAGAACTCTCAAACCAATAAAACCACTTGCCCTTTGGGCTACACAGTCCCTCTTGTACTTCAGATGTGTAAAATACTACCATTACTGAGTCCTGCAAGCCACAGCTTCAGTGCCGTCACTAGGTCTTGCTGTACAGTGAAGCAGCCGAGCTACCAACGCTCAATAAACAGATCCCAACAAACAATCACACCTTGAAATGTTATACGGAGAATATATTAATACATATACATCTTAATGCAATGTATTTTTCAAATTATAGGTTTACGGTTTCAGGAAATGTTGTAATTTTGGTAATATGAATGGTAACTCACACCTGATGTTCAGAATTCTTTGTCGTTTTCATGTAGTTTCCCAAGTTTTTTGATCAGCTAGCGGAGACTGTTACCCGCCTAGCACGTCACGGGAAACCTTTGGGAACAACTATGTTATTTGCGTCTGTAAATACATTTCGGAACTTAGGGAGGTCTAATATTCGTCTCAGATATATATACATTTTGAAATATTCGAATTTCAATTTCGAAGTCAAAGCCCGAGTGTGAAACAAGATCGGATCGCCGTCTTGTTGTTGGGTGTCGGTCCATTCGGAGTATACCTTTTGTTGACTTGCTGATGTTACTCATATGTATTGTTGTGTTGTGGTTTTTTACTGCAAATAGGCAATTAAATTCTTGAAATCTTGGGTTTCTATATGTTTGTCTCTGAAGTCATATGTGGTCCTTTTTCACAACATTTCAATGTGTTTTTGATACTAAGACAATCTTGTATCTTGGTTTTGTTAAGGGTCCTGATTTGTCCAACAGTGGTAAATTTCGTTGATGAATACACAAAACATCAGGGCATGCAGCGAAGATACTCCCCAGCTCCATATATGCAAAAGGGTAAAGTGTCCTTGCCCTTGACACTACAACAGCAGAACTTGGGGCTTAACGAACCAACTGACCACGGTCCGGCCCCAATTCATATAATGTTATCATTAATCTTATCTAATTGGGGATGGTGGCCGGATTCATTTGCAGTTGATGTTTTTTATGGGGGTGAAGAACTCAGTGGTGTCCGTGTGTGGCAGGGATGACCCTCTGGGACCACGGTGGTGAACTGAAGGAGGGACAGACAAGGAGGGGCCGCAGCCCAACCGTATTTGAGATCGTGCTCTGAATCCATCTCAACTAGTCCTCGGTCTCGGATGACGCGGGCCTCTAAGGCCATTCTTAGACTTAGTCAAAGTGACGGCTCGGCCAATATCAAGGACACGCGAACATCCAACAGCAGGCGCAGTCACCTCTGAAATACATAACTACCACACGGCTTCATGAGTAGGCTGACCATGAACCACTGGGGCAGAGAAACATCAAGCATCCGTACGTCTTTGAGAAAGGTCTGGCCACACATGTGGTCACTGCCCATTTCTGTAACGGAGCCAGGCCTTCTTTGGGTTTGACCGTGAACTTCCAACTCTGAAAACATCCACGACATCAAGGAAAGCTCCAAGCTCAGTGTTGGATCAAAAGACCTCTGCATCTCCATTGAGGGAAAGGAGCTCTCAAAATGGAGACAAAGACAAAGATAAAGCTACAAGTTTCCTGCAATGCCACGGAGACGTGAATCTGCCTCTAGCCCAATGACGTTTGGAAGACGCAGTGAAGGTTACAAGGACCTGCCCATACTTCTGGGGTCCAGATGGAAGAAAAGGCGGTGCGCGGGACTGGTTGGCTGCTACCCGCTCACCGAAACTTGACTCTACTTGCGCTCAGCTGTGAGCAGATCAGCGTGGGGCCAGGTGATTGAGGTTAAGAGAGAAGTCCCTGACATCTCCGACCAGGACATGAGGTGTCAGGATTTTTTAAAAGCGCAGGCTACACAGTTTCCTCCTACTCATATATTCACAAAGATCAAACCTTCAGGGATTTGTGTTCACAGTTTAACCGGACTCCATGTGTTCTGGCTCAGAAACTCCCTGCAATCCGTGGAGAGGAGAGAAGAAGCGGAACTCGCAGATGCTGAAAAAGAGCTCTTCTCCATTCAGCTATGCTGTCTGAACCATTGTTCACGCAGCGAAAGTCATTTAAATCCACCTCATCAAAACATTCACTAATTTGAGAAGCTCTACAGAATAGTCCTCTTCCTCTCTGGAGGGAGGGGGGGAGCCACTACCCAAACATAAAGTATGCAGTTTGCTTTGTTTTCACCTCACTGAATCTGGGAAGGAAGAATATCTCTCTCTTAGATCTGTACTTGTAATGGTGCCAGCTTGATCAGAACTTCTCTCGACCAAAGACCTGGAGAGGCAGCAGTGGTACAGCAACAAAGACGTGCGAGAGGCCGTCAGACCATGTAAGGCTCTTCAGACTTGTGCAGAAGCCAACAAAGACAACAAGACGTGAAGTTTTATCAGTGTGCCTTTAAAGATGATAGCTCAGAAAGGCTCAACATTCTACACATAGAAGATGATTGAAGCCAGTGAATGACTTTTGTGCCTCCTTCAAAGCCTGAGGGTTAAAGTGGATGTTGTACACTAACATGTGACGCTTCGTGTTAGCGCCCCACATGGAGCAGAGTGCATTGACCGTCCTACAGGCTGGAGTACATAGAGAAGGTCGAGTCAGTTAAACCGGAGATGGCCAGCCATTCAGTGAGAAAACACCGTCTTAACCACAGTCACTGAACTGAACCCAGAATCCTAGTACACATTTCATACTAAGGCCCTCAGAGATGGACCTAGGGCCCATGACGTACTCACACGTCAAAACTTTCCGGCACCAAGGCCCCATAACGCCTCGCAGATGAGGTGCTGAAACACCGTGTAACTCTTAGAGATCCAAGGATCTCTGTATCCTGAAGTGCCACTCAGAAAGAATGAAAGATCATTCTGGCTGGTGCACTTTCAACTTTGCTCTATGTTTCAAGAAAAAAACTGGCACCATATTGGTGAGGGGAGACACTGGAGCGGGTAAATCCACCCTCATCAAGCGCATGACAACTAACAGTCCTCGGCGTGCATGTACGGCCAAATAAAGGGTTCCAACGGAGTGGCAGTAGAAAAGTTCCCAGAGTCTCAGTCAGACAGCAAGGTGACCGTTTACAGAATCAACTTGACAAGGGCTTTACGTGATTCGACTACTCCTGAACATCATCGATTACTCCAGGCTGTTTGAGACCCTCTGCGCATCAAAAGAGACCCATTAACCCCTTGAGCAGATCCGTAACCTCTTCCCGACAGCCTGTGTTGGATGTCCTTCACACATGTGCTCGTCGCTCATCTGCTCTTGTGCGCCTCATGCCACACTCGTTACTTTTGCTTCTGTCCTCCTCCAGCTTGGGGAAGGGACTGCCCTGAAAATCCCAGGTTCTGAGGACTTTTGGCAGAGGACAACTGCCCCAGTTCTAGAGGGCCATCACAGCTGGCTAAGTCCCATTGCCCCCAAGATGATTCGGAAAAAACCCTGCTCACTATAAATTCAACAATTCTGGCACTTTTTGCTGATAACCAATTTTGTGGGTTGTTTTGAGAGATGTTCCTGAACATGGAAAGCAAGCATGAAACTTCTTTACATGCACTTATTAGACTGTACCTCATAGGTGCCTCGACGAAAGGAGGTTCGTGAGAAAGAAAACAACTTGATGACACGGTGATGATCTTCAACAGCAGGATATAAATGAAGGTTAGCACAAACAACGACGAATTCTGGCAAATTCCTAGAACACATCAAGAAGCATGAGGCTGGAATCGAGAGAACAAGATTTTTAGGTTACCCTGAATGTAATCAACCGATTCATAGAGCAATCGCAGTACAAAACTCAGCACCATCTGCTCCAATGTCCACGAGACCCTGTTTCATTACCCTTTGCATCGGTGTTGATTCAGCAAAGAGGTTGTTTGCAATGACATGTTTGGTTGACTGCCCAAGTGTCCTGGTAAATGCTTCTGGTGGGATTCATTACAACCAAAGTTACAGATGGGAGTACAAAGAAGTCACTGAGACATACATCCTGCTAGGAGTTAAAGGATAGATTTTCTAAAAGGACAAAAGGGAAAAGAAAACTACTGAGAGTATTTTTCACATTGCAGAAGAAGAAATACAACTGTTTATGCAACATGTGAGTGGAATGTTCAGGAACCACTACAGCATAATCCGTTTGGGGAGAGATCGCTCTGAGGCCAAACCCTCTGTCTGCCTCCATACTACATTTGACATATATAAGAGTCATAGAAGAATCAGAAAAAGGTATGTGGAAGCAGAGTGTGCAGGGTCTGGAGGACAGAAGCAGAAGCAGAAATCCTCAAAAAAGTACGGCTGCTGCGGTAAAAGACTTCTGATTGAAAACTAACGTAATGTAGATTTGTTTTGGTTCACAAGAGTAGAAAAGAAGCACTAAAAACGGAAAAATGTAAAGGATATTATTATGGCGCGTTCAGACCGACTTAACTTCACGTCAAACAGTCAGTTTGGGCATTGAAAGATACTGGTGGGAACGCGGCAAAACTTCATAAGTCGCGAGTAAATACGGCAACACAGCGAATCGCTCGTGTCTCTTTCCCCGCTCCCTTGACCCAAAGCTGAGCTTTTGGACTTTGACGCGCTTCACCAATCGGAACAAGGCACAGCTGCGGCCCTGGCCTGTCATAGAGAAGTCATGTAACACTGCTGCTGCTGTAGTTTTAGTTGTCATTAAGTTGTTAGTAATTATTCATTGTATGAGTCTGTAACGTTCTTAATAAGTGAGTAACAAAACCATTGTACACTGCTGTTAGTAAAAACGTAAATTTAATTAAGAACAAGCTGTACGATAGCTGCTCAGGGGGCGAGGAGCGAGGCAGCTCAGCGGGGCAGAGATAGAGAGAGCGGAGATGGGAAGACGAGGCAGCTCCTGCGCAGGAGCGGGAGAGGTAGGATAGGCGAGAGCGAGGGTGGAGGGGCGAGCTCCCGGGTTTGGGAACTCAAACTGGGCGAGTAACATGCGGAAGACCGCTGAAAGCTACACTTCTTCGTGCACTAGGCCCCATGTATAGGGACGGAGACTCTTGCAAAAACTGCATCCTCATCGTGGTGAACCCAAACAACGTTTTGTAGAAACCTACACAATGTTATTGGCTGTAGATAACAAATTAAGCTCGCTGCTCTCCTAAAAAATCCACCGTTACTACAGCAACAGAGATCTCCACCCACCCAACATCAGCGCGTCAAAAGCTTCGCAAGCTCCAAAATTACAAAAATGACCCCCGTCAGTTGATGCGCGTCAAAAGCTTTTTGAAGCTTTTGACTGAACTCACCATTAGTCTTAGCTGTGTTCACACTGGAGTTAACAATACAAACAGATCCTCAATAAATTACACCTGTTATAACCCGCTCTAGTTTATAACCAAGTATTTAAACCAAACAACAAATGTCAATATAAAAAGTTTTTATAAGAGAAAGCTGGAATAAACAATGTCACAAAGACGGGGGCGCTCAGGTGTAGTCTGGGAAGTGAATGATCCGACAGCAGCCCGGTGCAGTGATTGCGGTCCTTTTATTTGCGCGACCTACGCACGCACTAGCCAATGCCACTCCCAGCGACACCTGCCAGAGATAGCAAACCATTACAGCCACCAAAGGCTGCCAAACGGCCATGACACTCCTGTTACATCCTGAACACAGACAACTTAAGTTTTGATAAACATTGTGTTTTCATTTCAACAATTTCCCAATTGAGGATGCAAAGGATGCAGAGGAAAATAGGAATGACAAAACATTATTTTAGTGTTTTTTTACATAAACTAGAAGGCTCTAGCTTTAAAATGATGCATCACACAAGCATGTGAGATGTAAGATGTGTTTTTAAATAAGCAAAGACATTTGGGTATGCCCAACCATTGTGCACGAGCCAAAATGAGGCGGTTGTTAAGAGGTTAAGAAATATTTAGTCTAATCTTCTTGTCCTCCTCTCGGGTCAAAATGACAATTCTTCCCTCCCTCTTTCCTCCTGCCATGCTTTCTCCTTCCTTTTTCTCATCCTGTTTTCCTTCTCTCTGTTCATCCTTCTCTATTCCCTTCTTTTCTTTTCCTTCCTTCCTTCCTTTCTCCCTTCTTTCCTTCCTACCTTCCTTCCTTGCTCCCTTCCTCTTTACTTGGCCAATGATTCGTCCTCTGAATCCTCCTTATCGTAAGAAAATTGACAATCTGGATCAGCAATAACATTGTCCTGTATCTGAAAAATCCTCTACATCATTATCCCAGTTAAAAATCTGTGATAAAGCCTCCTCAGATGTCATCCTTCTGGAGCTCATTTTTGGTGGGTTTGTCTAGGGCCTAGCATTGCCTAACTAGTTGCAAGACGGCTTTTGGCAACTGAGAGTAGATGATGGGAGATGATCAGTTGCCAAAATTGGTCGATGTGAGCGCTCTTACAACTGGAGATAAACAGTCGATCTCCGGATTCAGTCAGTTGCCCGTGTTCTACTTTTCGGCAACTAGTTGTCCTCAGATCCGGAGATATCACCCGATGTGCACGCTCCGTGGCGCGCTCCAACAACGTGTGTATTGCGTGTATTGCGCCCTCTACAGTTTATGCCAGAAAACACTGTAGGTGAGGCCAGTTGCTGTCGATGTACGCGCTGTTATTCCCGAGACTGGTCTGCTACTAGGAGTTTCCCGTTTTCGCCAGATTGTGCAGGGCAGAAACTCAAAGGCGACGGATATATTAAGTTGCCAGTACGATGTACACTAGGCAAAAGAGATGACATGAGAACAGTGACAAGGACAAGTGTGAGAAAGTTCCCTCTCTTCACACACCTGGCTCTCAGAGGTAATCAAAATAAAATGTCAAAGAGACATGTTTTTTTGGATCTGAACAACTATTTACCCACATTAAAGCGTCAGGGTCAAAATGACCCGCAACATCATCTTTGTATACAAACTCTGCACAGACATTCCACTACACATCAAAGTGTCCAGATTTTACACACCAGTTCATGACCCTAGATGATGAAAAGTCACCAAATTTCAGGAAGAAAAAGAAAGGATAACCAGTACTTTAATCAACACAAAAACTGAAATGGGTCAAATTGACCCTTAACATAATACAAGGGTTATAAATCTCCAACGCGCGGTCTGAGAATTCATTCCCTGAAGAAGTCCGCTGGTTTGAGGACGAAACGTCGGGAAAACTTGCTAAGAAGTACAGATGATGGGTGAGAAACCTTCCTTTGCTTTTACAACTGTAAAGCGAGATATGTTGAGTTTCTGGAAAAAGGGTCTCCAACTTTTCACATGGAGAGCTTTGAAAGGTTTTTATCCTGGTGATGATACAGGACATTCAACATTCAAATTACATTTATAAACATTATCAACATCTATGGACATTGGCTCCTATCACCATGGTGCCAAACGGATCGTTTCAAGAG